AATTAATTGTCAATTTCGTCATTAAATACTACACCAAATACAAAATAAATAGCACCATTAAGTTGGTGGTGGAGGTACACATATTATTATTATTTGGAATCTCGTACATATTTCCGTAAATAGCTTGGAACCTCCTTCATAAATTATAATTTAATCAAATTATTATTGCATTCTCAGTAGAACGTTATATTTTTAAGACATTTTTGTGTTTGTAAGATAAATGGTAGTGATTTATGTGAGATGTTTAGTCTATTTACCATAAAATAAATATTAACATCGTACTGTAAAAAGGTTCGTAACAATTTATATTTTATTTTTTTCTCTGTTGCTGTTCTATCTGTTGAACATGCAATAGGTGACGGTGTGGTAGCGTATTTTTCTCCGGAAACCCTGAGAATCTCCCGGCATCCTCAGCGATATATGTTAGTAAGTGTAATCAAGAATGGGCTAGATTGAAGTTGAATTGAAATACCGTACTTAGATTTGTTGGTTATATTCTTCCTGGTAAAAAGTGTTAAAATTTAAGATGTGATATTTTATAAAGTTTCGACATAATTATGGCGGCATGTGCATTGCCACTATCAAATCGGAGTGGTAGTCATCAGTTAACCAAGACTTTAGAAAGAGTTCTTGAAGATGCACAGTTAACTGGAGAATTGAAACTTTGTGGAAGAAAACTGAAAGACTTTCCAAAAAATGCCCAAAAGTATGATCTCAGTGATACTGTTTTAGCAGGTAGGAGAGATAGAAAAATCACAGAATAGGATTTAGTGTGGGTATATTTGTGGCATTAACTAATTAAATGATTAACAGCATTAAAAATAACATCTGCAGTCTAATTTAAATAATAGATATTAGAAAATATTCTTAAGAATAAGTTGAAATGATCATCACTTGTCATATCTAGTCCATTTCTAAATTCTGTTGATAAAAGTGTGAACTAATACTAATAGTTGAAAAAAAAATAGTTTAGGCTTATTGTTTACAAATTACGTATAACTATAAGATCTATATTAGTATTACAGATATTTAACTCAAATTATATAGGTTATTTTATGTACTATATTATCAGTATATGATATCTATACAAGTTGCAGTAGAACTTAATTCTTTTGATTGATTAATAAATATATAAGTTTACTTGATAAACAATCCAAATCATATTTCATTAGATAAACCATTCATTTAAAAAAGTAAAAGTTGTATTTAGATTGTTATTCCTTCAGTGGGTTTAATACAATGTAGGTACTCTTGAAGATGCAATTAAGTGATTTTTAAAGAGAAAACTGGAAAAAGTTCTTCACTGTGTTTTATGGAGAAATAACTAATTCTTACATGTACTATTCAGAAATACTGGTATGGGTCTTCTAACATCTCAGGTGTTTGTATTATTTTTTAGTAGTAGTAGACATTCAGCAAAATGCAATGCTGAAGATCTTTTGTAGATAATGTGTCATCCAGAACTTACAATAAATTAACCAAAATTAGAAAACTTGTATCTGTATACATGTGCTTGAAAGAACAAATAACATACAAATTAAAAGCAGAGAGCTATTTAGCTCACTGATATCAGCTATCACTTACAATAACAATTCATTTTTCATTTCTCATAGTCCTTGCGGACCATTGAGCCGATGGCAGATCTTGCTCTGCCATCGTTTCTAAAGCTGTTTCTTACCTCAAAGATGCAACCCACTTGACAGCCTTCCCTCTTTGAAAGGGCGAGCATGTTTGGTGTGATGGGGATTCGAACCCGCGACCCTCAGATTGCGAGTCGAGCGCCTTAACCACCTGGCCATGCCGGGCCTTTCAATAACAATTACCCAATTTAAATGTAGGTCTTCATATCCTCATACTTCTCCATATAAATTTAAAAGTAACACGGTAACACAATACTACATCACTAATCAAACAATTTCACAAATTTATAATTCTAACAAAGAAAAAATTGTCAAAGAACAATTCTGCATCTACTGTAGGCTACTAAAACTTAAAACCAGATATCCTTATTATTCAAAGTTGTAGGGATGTAACAAAGAGTAGATTTCGACTTTTGAAAGTTTGAAACACATTACCAAATGAAAGTTTGAAACTTTAGTAGTATGAATTTACGTAACTTACTTGCAGAACTTCAGCTGACTTAGGCAAATAAGTTTTCATTTAAAAGTTACAGTTCCAAGCAGGTTAACAGTCATAGAGACTTTTTAACATAAAATTTTTGATTAATTAAAAATACCTAATAATAAATAAACGTAAGAACAGAACAGAGTAACACTAACAGATCAATTGGAAAATAAACTGAAATCATTAACTCTAACAAAAAGTTACAGAAGCAAGTGTTATTATCAGCTACTTTTTTAACTTCATTGTTGATTGAAATGGAGGGCAAGTGTAGAGCTCACCACTGCTCCTTTTTTAGCATTAAAATTATTAGTGTTAGCATATATTCTATGTTTCATAATTACAAAAATATGAAACCCTACATTCAGAGTGTTTTCAATAGGTGGATCTTTCTTTATTAGGGACAAAGTGTTTCATACTTATTATACCATAACACTTATATCTCGTACATTAGGCATTAACCCTTTCGAGATGGATCATAGGTGAAAGGTCATTTCGTTGGTTGACTTGCATTCAAAATTTTATTTAACTACTATTTCATGAACTTATGTCAATAAGTTTGGTATCAAATTGTAGATTATATAGAACTATACATTATTCAGTTTCTTAATTTAAAGTAAATATATAAAAAAACAGATAAACATAAATTTTAGTGTGTCACGTGATATGTTGAATGCAGCATTGGTTCAGATTAGGTGTTTGTGAAGTCAAAATACTACATCTATAGTTTTGTACGAATTAGAAACTCAAATTACAGATATTGACAAGCTAGAATATAAAATAAGAAGGTCTTATAGTTTCTATTTGCTAAGATATTGCTCATGTAATAAATCCAACACAATGGCACCCCACCCACCTCTTTCCATTTTTGGAAACACTACCTTATATACACTTCTATATATGACATGAATAACCAATCGGAAGCCTGGAATGTCCCCCCAATGGCTTTCTCAGCCATTT